GGGAACAAGCGGGCACGGAGCACACGGCGCGGGCACGGAGCACTCAGAGCCGGCATGGAGCACACAGCGTGGAGCACTCAGCACAGGCTCGGAGCACACAGTATGGGCACGGAGCACTCGGCAAGGGCACGGAGCTCTTGGCACAAGGATCGCCCCTCCAGCGCGTGCAGCCCCCAGCAATGCCAGGCCTGGGGTGCCCCGCACACGGCTCGGGGGGCACCAGCYGCCCAGCACATCAGCAGGGACGCAGCAAAACCCAGCCAGGCCCTGGGGCGGCTGCTGTGCAGCACGACGGGCTCCCGATGGCCTGCGCTGCTGCGGGACATGGGGCTCGTTTCCCTGCGGGAGAGCCCAGGCCAYCGGCGCTGGCGCCGCGGGCAGCAACCCGCTGCGGGCAGAGCTGGCAGATCCCGCCGCCTTCCCCCGGCACCGAGGAAACACCCCGCAGTGCCCCCGCACTGTCCTTGACACACGGCCATTCCCRGCCTGCGGAAAACCCGGCCCCGCTCGGCAGCTCCCGCCTCGTGCCCCGGGAAAGGCGCCGGCACCCGGAGCCCCGGCGCGGGGCAGCTCTGGGGCCCGTCCCGGCCGCCCGCAGCAGCAGCAGCAGCAGCGCTGGCCCCGCTCCGGCGCTCCAGGTGCCTTCTCTCATGTTACAGGAATGGGTCGTTTTACAGGCAGCTTCCTGGCCGGGGGCTGCTCCCCGCAGCCCGCCYGGGCCCGCGATGCCGCGCGGCGAGAGCGGCGCCGGGGGGCCAGGCCGGCCAGCGCGCGGGGGTTACCCGCCGGGAACGCCGCCGCGGCGCTGCGCACGGGACACGGCTCCGTGGGAAACCTGCATCCCAGGACTCTTCCCCATTATTTGGAGCAGGTCTGGGTCCCGGCAGAGGCCGCCCCTTCCCCTCCGCCCTGGCCGCCGGCACCGCCGCCCGCTCCGGAGCCGCTCTCCCAATATAGCAGCATCGAATAGCTCTATCAATAATGCAGCGCTGCCGCTTCCCCTCGCTGCCGCGGCCCTGTTGCTAACATGCGTGTCCTTCCTGCCCAACAGCTGCTTTCCCTCTGCCACTTAGGCCAAACAGGGACACGGCGGCCGCTGGACGGGGCGGCCGCTGCTCCGCGTCGCTGCAGGGCCGAGGCTGCCGGTGCCCGCGTCCRTGCAGGAGGCACCCACGGCCTCCACGGCGGGGTCCCACAGGGCCAGCCCCGCTTCCCGGCGCTCAGAGGCCGAGCCGCGGCGGGGACGCGGCCTGCGCAGCACCCATGGGTGCCGCGGTGCTGCCGGGGCCAGGCCATGGAGCCGCCGTCCCCTCAGCCCAGCTGGGGCGGCGGGCGCCCGCTGCCTCCCGCGCCCGCCCGCTGCTGCAACGGCAGGAAACCGCAGCGGCAGCTGCAGGCGGGCTGATAACGGCGCCCGCGCCCAGCCTGCGCGGGGGCCGCCCGCGGGGCGCCCACGGGACGCGCCCAGGGCGCGCGGGCCGGCGCACACGTGCTGCTGCACCCTGCTGCACGCTGCTGCACGCTCCCGCACACTGCTGCACGCTCCCACACGCCGCTACATGCATGCTCCTGCACGCTGCTGCACACTGCTGCACGCATGCTCCTGCATGCCGCTGCATGCCGCTGCACGCCGCTGCACTCTCATGCATGCTGCTGCACACCACTGGACGCTCCCGCACACCACTGCACGCTCCCACACACTCCTGCACGCTCCTGCACACTGCTACACACTCCCGCGTGCTCCGGCATGCTCCTGCACGCTGCTGCACGCGGTGCCCGGCACACTTCCCGCCCTGCCCGCCGCGGAGCCTGCAGCACCCGGGCATCCCCCCGGCGCGGGGCAGAGGCTCCGTGCCTCCTTCGCGGCCCTGCACAGCGCACGGGGGAGGTGGAAGCGGCTCCGCAGTCCCTGCTGCCCCACATGCTCCATGGCGGGGACAAGACCCGAGCGCGCTCGGCACCGCGTGGGTGCCGCCGTGGGGCTCGTACCGCCCTCCGGCCCTGGCCGTGCGGGAAAGGACGATACCGCGTGTGGAATAAACTCGGGGCCAGCCCGGCCGGCAGCCGGTGCAATGTCACCCTGTCCACGTTCTACCAACACAGCGGGCGGGCAGGGCGAGCACGGCCCGTTCCAGGGCTCTGCATGGCTGCGACACGTCCAGCTCCCAGCAGGAGAGCTGGGGAGTCGGCAGGAAGGACATCCCGTGCGCTGCCACGAGTGGCTGTGCCCGGGCAGGAAGAGGGAATGCACTGGGCCAGGCTGCTGCAATGCCCTGGGCTGGGATGCGGGAATGCCGCAGCCGGGCTCCCCACAGCCGCCTCTGCTCCTGCYGACCCTGGGCCCTTCCGGGCCGGCCGCAGCACATTCCTGCCCGGGGTGCACGGAGGCCGGGCTCCGCTCCACGTGGGATGCCCGGGCGGAGGAGGAGGCCAGCACGGAGCCAGCAGGAGAGAAAAAACAAAACAAAACAAAACAAAACAAAACAAAACAAACCGCTGTTTTTGTCGCGAGTTACCAGAGCCTGGCGCGGGGCTCGCGGCCGGGCGCGGGGCCGGTGGCAGCGGCTCGCGGGCCGCCCGGTGCCGCACGGGAGCGCGGCCGGCACCGGCCCCACAGCAGCGCGGGGCCGGCCGGGACCCACACGGGGCCAAGGGCTCCCGCGGGGCCGCCGCAGGAGGCAGCTCCGCACGGGGCCTCTCCGGGGCCCCACGGCGCCGTTAGGGGGATGTTTATTTAAGCATTTTGGGAAAGACGGGGGCCGGAGCCCCCCATCCCGGGCACCAAGACACCCCGCGGGAGGGCCGAGCTGCGGGGAGCGGATCCGAGCGCCGCTCTCCGGCCCCGCCGGCTCCCTCCGGAGTTTGTTTACTTCCCGCCTCGCCGCTGGCTCTCCCTGCCTGCTGGGCTGCGTTTTTCCCTCTCTCCCTCTCTGTGTTTTTTTTATTCTCTCTCCTTTTCTGCACGTCGCGGTTCCCGGCGCGGGGCCCCAGCGCCCCCCGCACCCCGGGCACAGCCCCGCGGGCAGCGCGGCGGCGGGGAGCGCCCGGAGCCCCCGCGCACAGCCGCGCAGTAACCGTTCCTGGCTGGCAGGAGGCCAGCGGCAGCGCCGCGGCTGCTTTTTTTTTTCTTTTTTTTTCCCCTTTTTTTTTTTTTTTCTCTATATTCCGATAAACAGCCCGGGGTGGGGGGGTGGGGTCCGCGGCCGGCTGGGGAGGCTCGGGCCGTGCCGGGGGCCGCGGCGGGAAGGGGGGCCGCRCGGCGGGATGCGCCCGGCTCCCGGTGCGCGGAGCGGCCTGCGGATGCTGCCGGCGATCCCCCCGCTCCGCCAACATGGCGATGCCGTTCCCGGCGGCTCCAAGGCCGCCATTCCCGCGGTGTCCCCGGGGCCCCGGCAGCCCCCCGCGCCCCGCGGGGCGGGCGCTCGCACTGTTTGGCCTGGCGGCGAGGCGGCTCCACGTGACTTTCTGCTTGAGGAAGCAGCTCTGGCAGCTTCCAGGGGGAGATGGAGGCGGCGGTGGGGGAAGGGGCCGCCTGCCTGGCTGGAATTGCGCCCAGGCTGCCGGGGAGGGGGCGCCGGGCGGGCGCCCCCCGGCCCCCCCGCGGGCGCTGCCGGGATGCGGGAGCCGGGAACGGGGCATCCCGGGGGTGCGGAGCCCCGGCCGCTCCATGGCAGCACTCCCACTGCCGGGGGCTCCGGTGCCCGCGGCGGATCCCGGCGCTCGGAGCCCTGCGCCAGCCCCCACGCCGGGGGTCCAGCCCCACGGCCGGACCACAGCGCCCGGCGGGACCGTGGGTCACCCTCCCCACGGCGGGACCCGCCACCGCACTGCAGGCCCCACGCTGCGAGGCGCCAGCCCCCCACTGGTCACCCCAGCGCTGGTCTATAGGGCGCCATAGGGTGTCAGCCCCACGGCTGGACCCCAGGCCCGGGTCAGAGCATCCCAGCCCCACAGCTGAACTCAAGTTTCCAAAGCAGGAGTCCGAGCTTCAAAATGGGAGTCCGAGCTCCAATATGGGACCGCAGCCCCYGTGCATCAGGGTCCCATCCCCACCGCTGGGCCAGCACCCATGCCGTACAGTGAGACCCCGGCACCCACGCCATGGGGTGCCAGCCCCCTAACTGACCCCCGTGCACACGCCAGACACTGCCCCATAACCAGACCTCAGCACCTGCACCTTGACACGGCAGCCCCACAGCCGGAGCTCCGTATCCGTGTCGCAAGGTCCCACCTCACAGCTGCACCCCAGCACCCATGCAGGGCACCCCAGCCCCATACACAGGCCCCAGTGTGCAAGCTGCAGGGATGCAGCCCCATAGATGTGGACCTTAGCACTCGCGTTGCCACGTCCCGCCCCACAACCGGACGCCAGCTCCCGCGCTGCACGGGCCCAGGGCCCCAGGCGGACTGCAGCACCCACGCTGCAAGGCGCCAGCCCTCCAGCTGCGCCCCAGCACCCACGCCATGGGCCCCAGCCTCAAAACAGACCCCCGCACCCACGCCGCAGGAGCCCAGCTCCACAGCTGCCCCAGGGCACTCACACTGCAAGGTCCCAGCCCCATAACCAGACACCAGGATGCATGCAACCAAGTCCCAGCCCCATAACCGGAGCCCAGCACCCATGCAGCAATGTCCCAGCCCCACAACCAGCCTGCTGCACACATACTGCAAGGTCCCAGCTGCATAACCAGAGCCAGGCACCCATGCAGCAAGGTCCCAGCCCCATAACTGGAGCCCAGCACCCACACTGCAAGGTCCCAGCCCCACAGACACCCCCTCCGCAGGGTCGCAGCCCCATAACCAGCCCGCTGCGCACACGCTGCAAGGTCCCAGCCCCATAACCAGCCCGCTGCACGCACGCTGCAAGGTCCCAGCCCCGCGGCGCCCCCTCCGCGGGCTGCCAGCCCCACAACCAGCCCGCTGCACCCCCGCTCTGCAGGTCCCGGCCCCACAGCCAGCCCGCTGCACCCGCGCTGCGTCCCCGCGGGCCCCGCACTCACCAGGGCATGCACAGCCCACTGACATCTTCACATGCCTGGCGCGGCCGGGGGTCGCTGCGCGCTGCCCGGGCCGCGGGCTCTCGCATG